GCCTCAGTCAGTTGTTCCATCACCTCCTGTGTCATCTTTTATAGCCTCCTCCAGACACAGCACCCCCAGACGCAGCACCCCCAGGCTCAGCACCTCCAGACTCCGCACCTCCAGGCTCAGCACCCCCAGACGCAGCACCTCCAGGCTCAGCACCCCCAGACTCCGCACCCCTAGGCTCAGCACCTCCAGGCTCCGCACCCCCAGGCTCAGCACCCCCAGGCTCCGCACCCTCAGACTCCTCACGGTCAGGCTCAGCACCCCCAGCAGGACGAGAGTCAACAGCTACCTCAGCAGGCTCAACCGGGTCTACCTGGGACACACCTGAGGGAGCGGCACCCTGAGGGGGGAGGGGGTCTGGGACCTCAGCACCTGGAGCGAGGAAGAGAGGCGGGGGGGGGAGCGGGGCAGTGCGGTAGGGAAAGAGGCGGTAGTAGGGGACGGACTCGTCAAAAGTGACGTCCTGAGAGGCAAGGACCCGACGCGAGGTGGCGTGGTAGAACTGCCAACCAGGCGCGTCCGGGACAAAGCCAAGGAAAACACAGGGGACAGCTCGACGGGAGAGCTTGTCCGCGGACGTGTCGCGAACAAAAGCTCGGGATCCCCAGACCCGAAAACGCGACGCATCGCCAGCCTCTCCCGTCCAACGCAGTGTCGGAGAAGTCTCCGATAAGGAGACACGGGGCCAGAGGTTGAGCTGATGCGCAGCGTATCGGACTGCAAACGGCCACAGAAAGTGGGGGGCAGCCGCATGAACCAAGGAGGTACGAGCGACCTCCATGACCAAGCCAATGCGGCGCTCAGCAACCCCATTCTGCTGTGGAGAGGCCGGAAGCGTGAACGACTGCTCAATGCCCTCCTGCTGACAGAAGGCCTCCAAGAGGCCAGAGGAAAACTCCCCACCTCTGTCAGAGTGCAGACGCAGGACAGGGAAGTCGGAGCGGAAACGCTCACTGAGCTGGAGACGAGATCTGCGGATCCAAGGGATCAAGACATCAGGGACGTCACCCTTGGCGCGCAAGGGGAAGACCGTGGTGTAGCGCGAGAAGTCATCAACAACAATCAGGAAGTACCTCTCCTGACCCTGACCACGGACGCGGGCTGGGCCCCACACGTCCATGTGGAGCGTCTGCAAAGGAGCAGTCGTCGGGGGGAAGGAGGAGGAGTGAGGAGCGGCGCGCTGCCGCTCCTCGACACAGGGAAGACAGGGAGGAGCAGGCGAGGGTGGCAGGGGAGGGAGAACCCTGGGAAGACCAGCAACAAGGTACCGTTTGTGCATGGCCCGAAGGCGCTGCACAGACGGGTGACCAAGGCGGTGGTGCCAGAGGACAGTCTCATGCGCCAGAGAGCGACACGAGCAGGGGGCGGACAGCTGACCTGACGCAGACGCAGACGCGGACGCAGCTACCTGAGGGGACTCAGTGGTCAGTGTGTACAGGTCCGACCCCGGCTGCCGAGTGAAGGTAGCCAGGTGACGGCCCGTCCAAGCACACGTGCAGTGGGTCACGCGCTCGTAAGCAGGGGTGAACTGGTGGACACCCCCGTCCTGGAGCGCACTACCTGCCACCAAGTTCGTAGAGAACGAGGGGAGGTAGAGACCTGACAGCGTGCCTGACGGGACCGCAGGACAAGGAAGGATAGTGGAGGAGGTCGCAACGACCGGACCCCCAGAGGGGTCAGCGAGGGAGACAGCAACTGGCCGAGCGAGTGGCTCAAGGACAGTGCGGTCACGAAAGAAACAGCGAGAAGCACCTGAGTCCAGTGTGAAGGTGTGCAGTGCTGCAGTCGACTCAGTACCAGGGGGGACGGACTCACGAGCACCTAGAGCGACAGCCACACCATCACCTGAGGTGGCAGACACCAGAGGACCTGCAGTGGCAGTCGCACTAGTACCTAGAGCAGTAGGCTCATCAGCAGCTGGAGTGGTAGACACGTGAGTACCGGGAGTGGTAGCCTCACCTGCACCTAGGGCAACAGACGTACTAGCACCTAGAGCGGCAGCCTGACTCACAGGACTCGGCAGCTGCACCTCTCCACTACCAGTAGCTCCCGAGCGACGCACTCCAGAGGGACTACCACTACGGCCACTCCGACAGCCCAAACTGGCGTACCACTCACGAGCCTGCTGTAGCAGAAGAGGGCACGGCTGCTGCACCTGGCCACGACCAGAGGCTCCCGAACGACGCACTCCAGAGCGACTACCACTACGGCCACCCCGACGTCCCAAACTGGTGTACTACTCACGAGCCTGCTGTAGCATAAGAGGGCACGGCTGCTGCACCTGGCCACGACCAGAGGCTCCCGAACGACGCACTCCAGAGCGACTACCACTACGGCCACCCCGACGTCCCAAACCGGCGTACCACTCACGAGCCTGCTGTAGCATAAGAGGGCACGGCTGCTGCACCTGGCCACGACCAGAGGCTCCCGAACGACGCACTCCAGAGCGACTACCACTACGGCCACCTCGACTGCCCAAACCGGCGTACCACTCACGAGCCTGCTGGAGCTGCATCTGGCCACGTCAGGAGCAGCAGCAGTAGTGGTAGCAACAGCAGTGGCAGTGGGAGTAGTAAGGGCAGGAGCAGCAGTAGTAGCGGGAGTAGTGCTGGCAGGTTAAAGCTCACCAGAGGTAGGCGCGGCGGGCGCAAGACGGTGGTGACAGCGGGGCCGCTGCAACTGCGGGGCGGGGCCAGGTCGCAGCAGGGAGCTCCGCGGCAGCTGCTGCAGGGTCGGCTGCGACAGCTGCGGTAGGTCGAGCGGCGGCTGCTGATGCAGGCTCGGCGGCTGCAGCTGCTGAAGGTCCGGCGGCGGCCTCTGCTGCAGGCTCGGCGGTGGCAGCTGCGGTAGGCTCGGCGGCGGCAGCTGCTGCAGGTCGAGCGGCGGCTGCTGTTGCAGGCTAGGCGGCGGCAGCTGCTGCAGGTCCGGCAGCGACGAAGCCGCGAAGGGGCGGCTGAGGGGTCGCGACGAGCAGCTAAGGGGCCGCGACGCGCGGGGAAGGAGCCTCTAAGCGGGGCGGTACGGGGCCGCGGGGGGCCTCTAAGCGGGGCTCGACGGGGCCGCGGGGCCGCTAAGCGGGGCGCAACGGGGTCGCGGGGCCGTGAGGTGGGGCGCGACGGGGCCGCGGGGCCTCTAAGCGGGACGCGACGGGGCCGCGGGGCCTCTAGGCGGGACGCGACGGGGCCGCGGGGCCGCTAGGTGGGGTTCGACGAGGCCGCGGGGCCGCTAAACGGGGTGCGCGCGGGGTCGACGGGGCCGTAAGCGGGGCGCGTGCGGGACCGACGGGGCCGTAAACGGGGCGCGCGCGGGTCGACGGGGCCAGCGGGGCCTCTAAGGGGGGACGCGCGCGGGTCGACGGGGCCAAACGGGGCCGAAATCGGGGCGCGCGCGGGTTCGACGGGGCCACTAAGGGGCGGCGCGCGAATCGCTAAGGGGCGGCGCGCGGGGTCGACGGGGCCTTAGGGGGGGCCGTAAACGAGGGCGCACGAGGGCGCTGAGGGGGAGGCGCTAACGCAGCACTCCGACAGTAGATAGGTAGGTAGGTATTCAGTGGTGGGCCCTAAGAACGGTCCTAGCGAAGGACCTGCTCTGATACCATGTCAGAAAGAAGAGACTGGAATGATTGAACTATGAGTGAAAGCAGTACAAGTACCAAACCCTAGAATTGTGTACCCCCCATAGGCTAACCCACTGTAGCCTAAACAAACACAACATATATAATGTTTGACACCCCCCCCCCCCCCCCCTCCTTCCCCACATGCGGCTATCATCTTTCGCCATCTGTGTACAAGAGGCCTCATGAGAACCGTGCTCAAAAGCCTAGCAAGATAGTTGCTGGAGCGGGATTAGGGAAGGTCATGGTGCGGGATTGAGTCATGGTGTTGATATAATAAAGTGCATTGTATCACCCTGTGTCGAACATGCATTAGCCGTTCGACACTTGCTATACAAAATATATTATTACTCGGCACTTATTCATATTCGATTCGGATTTGGCAGTATTCGAATCACATTCGTATTCGGTTTTCGGTAAGTATTCGAATCGTATTCGTATTCGGTTTTGGGCCAGTATTCGGTCAAATAAGAAACCACCCAGTATTCGGAGATTATACAGGAAAAATATTCGTATTCGTACTCGTATTCGTTTGTACAGGCTTACCTGCGTGGATTGGCAATTGCGACCAACAATCTTCACGAATCAGCACATTTTGACCATCGACCTGAATTGATTTGCCATTTTGATCGCGGACCCACAACGATAGAAAACCGCATATAACTGCTAGTCGGGTCATAGGGCGACCAAACCCAGTGGGTCGAAAAAGACCCGAGTCTATCGGGTCTCGGGTCGACATGGTCAGGCGGGGTCGTTGCAATGATGTCTCAACCTGGCCAGCGACATCGCTCGGATCGAGCCGTAGCATGCACCAAAGTGTGCTCCACACAACAAGCTTACTTGCTAACCAACAAGCCAGGAAACATCATCCCACCTCACTTCACTCCTTGCTATCTAGCCCAACAGATACAAAAGGAAACAACCCATTGCACATCCACAGAATTTCCATGCATCAGCCTACAACCAAGATCCACTGCTTTAAGAAAAGGCTGTTGGACAGGTCCGCCTTGACACGGAGACAGCCTAGCCTTGTACAGAGGGGCCAGCAAGCCAGCCCAGGTCAGTCCGGCCCAAGCCCGGACCACATTTAAGGCTCCAGACTGGCTCAGGACCATGCCGGCGCAGGCGTCGCCGTGCTCATCCTTACCATTTAGTTTATCACTTGAACTGTCATACCGTTGTACAGTTCCATTGCATTTTGCCACCCAGGATAACAAAATAACTTTCCAGATTGTGTAAAATAGTATGGTTCACACACAACCCAGTTCAAATGAACACTAAACCGGCTTCATTGACACATGACTGGGCAACATAACATCCATTTTCAAGTATCCCCAAGAATCAATTGACAATAACGGATTTGTGCATGCACATGAGAAAAGGGTGAAACATGGTCAGTCGTGAGAGGCGGCTGGTTGGGGTTGCGAACGAGAAGGAACTTGTGGACGAGGAAGCCTTGCTTGCCAGCCACATACTTATGCTGCTTCACCTGTTGTGGTTACAGGAAACAACAAAAAAGAAGAAAAAAAAAAAACAACAACAACAACAACAACAACAACAACAACAACAAAAACAACAACAACAACAACAACAACAACAACAACAACAACAACAACAACAACAACAACAACAACAACAACAACAACAACAACAACAACAACAACAACAACAACAACAACAGCAACAACAACAACAACAACAACAACAACAACAACAACCCTTTCTGTTAGCATATGCCATTCTTAATTGGAGAAGAACACAACCCTTTCTGCTAACATGCGTTTCTGTGTGCCAAGTACTATATCTACAAATGGACGTGCCACCTGTGAAAAAGGAAGGAGGAGGATGCGCCATAGTATGCCAGTTTTGCGTCCCAACTCTAATACCAACATAATGCACACACTTCCTATTGATTAATGGCGTCCGTGCATGTTGGTTTCATGCACAAGTTGTCCCACTCTCTTGTTCAAATGCTATGTTTGACATTTGTTTGGGAATGGTAAGATGATAACGTTCCAAGGTGTTTCCACATGAGCGTCACCTGTTCGCTGCTAACGTGGACTCACGAAGCATCCATTTCAGACTTAAAGCCGGACGCACCTTATAGAGCCCATCGTATGTGAAGGCCTGTCCGACGTTAGACTCCTTGCTTTTGTGCCCTCGAATGACCCGCACATCATTCTTCACCTTGATGCTATTCTGTACCACCGCAAACGCACAAATTTGGGAAAAGGACAATAAAACGCAGGTTACGACAAACACATGCAAAATTAAAGATGATGGAGGTTGCTTCAACCCAAAGTCGAAAGGTTACATCTCACTGCCTAATCAAATTTCAGTACAACCCTGACTGACTTCAAAATTTAGTAGGGTGAGGAGGGTAAAAAAAATAATCAACGGCTACACTGGTTTGACGCCAAACAATGCAAATCGGGACACGCCAGCTCATCAAATATTATTGATTTGTGCCAAGTTGGAGCTCACTGAGCTTCAACTCCCTAGTAAGTTTACCCCATGGCTACCCTCACTAGCCTCGAGCCAGGTTTTAATGTGCAAGTTTGAGGGTCGCTACATTGACCCCCCAAAACAGTGCGCATCACTTTACCCCTTGCTGTCTGTACAACCCAATCCAAGCAATAGATGAGATTCACCACTCCAACACATTTTACCCATCCAAACTAGAAATCCAGCCCCAGTAGAAATACACCAAACCATGGTAATTTGCCCCTTAATATCTAGAAAGCCCAACCCAACCACCAGCCAAAATTCAGCAACCCACAGATTAGCCATGAATTTTCTCAATCTACTATCACTCATGTGAACCCTTGATCTCGCATTTTTCCCGTTGTAGCATTCAGGTACAGTTGAATTACTTTGAGTTCTCTCCCTTTACTTGACGCTAGGACAGGGCACCGTCAAATAGGCTTGAACAAAAACTCGGGCACCTGTTCGGTTTGACTTGAGCATGTTTGGTAAAAACCGAGCAAGTGGGTGTTTTTTCCCAAAAGTGTTCGGGTTGACACGTGGCTGCTCGACACGACCATGTTCGGATCTAGGGATGAGCAAATGGCGAACACGAACATGTTCGTGTTCGCCTGGGCTCGAACATGGTCGTTCGGCGAACCGAACACTGTTCGGTTCGCCGAACACTTTACACCAGAAAGGGTGTTCGAAGTTCGCCAAGAGAGGCGAACATTTCGAACGTTTTGGCGAACACGAACACGTTCGCCCAGAACATGTTCGCGTTCGCCTTAAAGGACCTTCTCAAATCCAAGAAGAGTAAAATTCAAATGTTTCACATTCCCTCCCCCCACCCCCCAAGCCAGTCCCGCCCTGCTTCATCCATGCTAGTGTCAGCGTGTGACAGCGAAAGGCTAGATCTGCACTTAGCAACGGCGAAATGCTAGATCTACGCTTAAGCAACGGCGAAATGCTAGATCTACGCTTAAGCAACGGCGAAATGCTAGATCTGAGCTTAAGCAACGGCGAAATGCTTGATCCGCACTTAAGCAACGGCGAAATGCCTTGATCCGCACTTAAGCAACGGCGAAATGCCTTGATCCGCACTTAAGCAACGGCGAAATGCCTTGATCTGAGCCCAAACACCGAGGCCCGCGACCTAAAAATTGGTCGCGGGCCTATTCGTCGACGAACACATTGGTGTTCATCGAAGGCCCGTGTCGAACACGAACACGTTCGTGTTCGACGCGCCTCGGCCAGCTGAGCTGGGCGAACGGCGAAACTTGTTCGGGCGAATACCGAACACGTTCGCCCCGAACAATTTAGGCCAAAAAAAATCCTGTTCGGTTCGCCTCGAACACGTTCGAGGCGAACCGAACAGGAGTTCGTCATGTTGCTCATCCCTCGGTTCGGTTCGGTTTGGCTGTGAATGCCGAGAAACAGACATGAGCAACAAGTAATTTACTCGACTTGTTTTGGTTACTCGTTTTGGGCAAGTGACGAGTCGGCCTTTTCCAGAGAATTACTCGCATAAGTCGAGTCGAGAATTACTCCAAGTAAATGATTTTTTCGCAGTCTACTCGTATAATAAGAAATTTATTACGCGGTTTCTACACCTGTTTAGCGCAAAACGAGTCGAGAATTACTTGCAAAAAAACGAGTACTTCATTATTCGGTCTGAGTAATGAAATACTCCTTTTTTTGCACGAGTAACGACCCGACTCAGGCGATTAAGACTAGACTCGTTTCCAAAACGACTCGGCTGGAAAGGAGTTGAGCATTACTCGACCCGGCTTTTGTTCATGCCTCCTGAGACATTACTTAATGTCGTCATTGTTTATATGTTAGTTCCCCAACACCCCCCAAGCATACAAGGAGTAAGGAATTCAAATACACATAACTGTGTAGTTACAGGACCGAACAGTCGAACAACCATTCCAGACAACGTTTTCGGGCCGATTAAACAAGTTATATGTCCCATTCGCCCATTAAACATGTTCGTTAAATGTTTGACCGAAGCACGTTCCTGTTACGTTTCGTTATGAAGCCATGGATGACGCAGAACACCAGCGGCAAGGGCCTCCTCGCTGCAAAAGCCGCACGCACGCTTGAGGAGCTTTGCTATGAGGGAGTGATGATTTTTGACATGTGGCTGTGGAGAGAGACTCGTGGTTGTTATTTCATTGCATTGCATGACCCTAGACCAACTTGGAGGTACTTAAACTGCTTGTGTTTTATTCTGTCATTGTGCGTTCGTATGTGTAACGTATAATTGAAGCGTTCATAACACCTAAACATACGGTAGGTCCTTGTTGTTCGTGAAAGCGATGTCTCTCCATAGTGACAAAATGCAATGCCTAGTTTGCAAGTGCTGACACAAATCTGGTTTTAATAAAAAATATATATATAACAATAGGCTTCACGGCTATACATGACCCGCCCTCGGGTATGAGATAGTTGCTAGCCTCGGGTCGGCCTAGACGGGTCGGGACGGGCTAATAATGCCAAGTTCCAATCAAAGCATAGGCGGTTGGATCACAAAGTCCCAGGGTTTAAAAAGCAAGTTCAACGTTACAGTTCAACCCGGAAAGAACCAGTTCGGTTTGACAACCAGATCAGACGATTTGACCCGGTTGGACACGAACCAGTTTGGGTTTGAAACTTGGTCATGCATGCCTACTCAATATGGCTGCCCGACTATTCACCTTTATGTTGTGCACTCCACCATCACTACCATAATTGCAGCATCGTCTCTCTATTCAAATGAGGGTTCCTAGGGCTATGTTGCAAAAGACGCAGGGCGCGTCATGCGTCCTGCGTCTGGACGCAGCCTCCGGACGCAGGGACACAGGACACACGTCCAGACACAGGACGCACTGTGGTTTTTTTTTCAGGCTGACCGAAAAAAAAATCGCCAGCGCGAAGTTGACATTCGCGATTTCGACGCGACTGTCGAATTCGCGACCTATCGACCCCCCCTAACCCACTTCGACCATCAAAAACAGCCCACGCACAGCATTTGTAACCCCCCATCACCAATATTGTAAACACAACCCAACCACATCTAGAAAACCAAACCATGGTGGTCCACCACCAAGCACATTTAGGAGCTCAAACTCTTCATTTGTGCTCCATCTCTTTATATAAACACAATTCTCCTTCGTAAACCCTAAAAGGTTTAGTTACCTTTCGATCCACAGTGCTACCTTTGGCTCCATAGCTACCTTTTTGCCTCACATGTGTGATACGTCATCCTGCCCCCCCCTTCCCATGCCCTAAACGTGTTTTTTTGGCTGCCCGGACGTTTTTTTGCCCTGCCCGGGCAAGCGTCTTTTTCAACGTCTCACATGCCCCATAGAAGCGTCCTGCGTCTAAGACGCTGCGTCTGGACGCAAGCATCCTAGACGCAGGACGCGTCTTTTGCAACATAGTCATAGGGCTTAGTGGGAATATACGCTACGCGTATAGCGTTTATATGCGTATCGTATATACGCTAACGTATATACGCCAAACGCTGAAGGGTCGGCTTCGGGAATCCGCTTTTTCGGGCAGGGAAAAAAATCCCTGGGCAAGGTGAAAAATAATGTCGTGCTCAACATCGAGAAGGCATTCCATATTCTCACTAAGAATTTCGTAGCATTCTAAGTCTAAACTGAACTTCGATTAGTGTGGGATCTGTAGTAGACACTATCGCTAGAAGGAGAAGTAGGAATCGAGATGAGTTCTGTTGGGAAGCGGGAAATGTCGAGTGCGTGAGGGGGGTTTGTTGGGGGAACGTTTTTGACAGGTTGGAGTTCGTAGATGGGATGGGTTTCAATGCGGTACTAATTAAAATTGTAGATCTGAACTGCCAGACGCGATTGTAAGGCACATTCCCGCTTCCCTACAACCCCGAATTGCACCTCGACTTCGGCGAAATGCTCACCAGGAGATTCCGCATCTTTCCGTATAGCACACGAATTTCTTCCGGGCAGCCCCTAAAAAAATCTGAAAGTGTATAGCGTATTAGCTAGCGTATAGCGTTTTGCGTATGAACGCAAGCGTATATAAGCTATACGCTTTAGGTTCTGAGCGTATATTCCCACTAAGTCCTAGGGCATACCATGAGAGCCAAGTTCCCGGATCGCAGAACTTGGTTGGCCACTTGCTCCCGTGAGCCCAGAAAGTCGTTGCCGCCCTCTCCGGTGTACCAAATGCGATCCGCCTCGTCCTTGTCGTCCTCGTATCCTCCAGAGACCACCACAGCCACCGCGATTGACTTTTGATACGGGCTTTTCTGTTGGAAAAGACAAGTATTAGACCGTGATTGCAACGAAAAGGGTATAGCAATAGCACAAGGGAAGTTAAGCATGAGAAGGGTGTTTAAACTTGGCTGTCAAACATTTGTATACAATATTTCACATCAGGAATGTTTTTTGTAGGTTGAGTGTGAAT